TGATTGTTCATTTTTTTTATATGTGATAAAGTTTATTGGGACATAGAGAATAGTTTTAAATCATAAAACGGGTTGAAAATTTGAGAGGAGTTCATTCAAATTTAATTAGGGATGGTCATGGGTTAGATCAGTTCGTCAATAAAACTCAATCTGAGTATAATAATACCCCTTCCACCCATAACAAAAAAAACTCAACTTGAATTTAGGGAAGCTCCACCTAATCTAAACTTCAACATGATTTTTAGGATAAAAGCTCGCATTAGGCCTGAACCGAAACATGTATATATATAGTTAAGATCCACTTACACACATTGTAAAATTAATCACCTTTTAGAACCCTTAAAATGAGGGAAATCAAAAGTTGAGATTAACTCATTGTTTTTTATGAAGAACATTTTCTTATTTCCTACTGTTAATCTCAGCTTTTGATTTCCCCTCATCAAACGATCCTAAAATATGTAAAACTTTTAGTTTTACACTATGTAATTGGATCCTAACTCATATATATATATATATATATATATATATATTAGATAAAATAAGAATCTAATAAACAACGTAAAATAAAATGATTTATAACAATTATGTTTTTTTGAAAATTAGTTATAACATTATCCTTTAATATATAAAAGGTCACTTATACTATTATTTTCAGGTAGTCGGATATTTTTCATACTAAATTCGTCCTGACTCGATCTCATCCTTTAAAAACATTGACTCAACTCCAAAATTTAAAAAAGTGTAACCCTATAAAATCGAGTCGGACCAGAAGACATCTTGTTTAGGTCAATCTTTAAACCTAACCGTTTAAAAGAACTAGGTGCATCTGGCCCGGCCTTGACCAGGAATTGTTTTATGGAATTTGGACTTGGGTTTATTAAAGCGTATCAAGGTAGGGCCAAACAATGTTAATAAGGCCCAAATTATAAGCAATAACCTTAAAAGGATAGGCTTTATTAACCAATGGCGGGACCGTCACTGAAATTGAAACCTCGACTGCGGCATGGAAACTCCAGAGCCTAAAACCACAAAGCTCGAGCTCTTCTCCGTTCCCATCACCGTCGTATTCGGAAAGGCAATGGAGGCCAGCTGCTCAACGGAACCTAAGGAACCAGTGGTCGAAATGGCGTATTTCCGCCAACAATGGCTTTCTTCGTCGTCGCCAGAACTCACGCCACTTCACTCGTCAACGCTTATTTATCCCAAAAGTGATGAAAACTCATATTTTGTTTTTACTGATATCATTGATTGTGTATTTTTTTTGGTCTTGTTAATTTTCGTTTCATTGATCAATTTGATTTCAGATACATGCCGTTGATGGAGTTGGGAGCTCTAAAGGACATGCCTGATATTCGAAAAAAGCTTCTTTGAAGTTGTTTAAGCAGCAAGTATGCTATTTTGATAACTACATGTTTTATTAATTTTTGTACAAAAAGGGTCGAATTTGGGATATGCAAAGTTTATGTTTTAAAGGCGATTGCATAAAAAAGGGTTTTAAATATTGGACTGTAAGTTCTTAATGTCTCATTGTCTTGTAAAACATCTTTTTCTTATACATGATGAGGACTAATTGAATAATTTCTTTCAGGAATCCCATGGAAGTAAACTTTTATCATCTTACAAGGACATGGTAAGTATTTTTTACTCATGATCATTGATGCTCCAACTCTTAATTTTTTTTAAAGTATTCGTGTCCGTCGTCTATCTGGATATAAGTATAAAAATGTAATCCAAATACATGAAAATCTACATTAAAATTGAACATACTTGTGTTGGAATATCCCCATATCTGACACTTGCATTCTAGTCTTAGTAGTATAGCTTATGATACTTGTGTATATTTATCTAAACTTTCTTGAATAGGCTTGTATTTGATCAACCTGATAGTTTCTACAGGTGATGGTTGTTGTGAACATGATGAATGCTAGTAAATCCATGAGATGTTTTCTCAAAGGAGGCAACAATAGTCCACTTGTACAATTTTCGAGCACTAGTGAGGATGTGAATGACACCGGTGATTGCGGTGGGGTTGCTGTCTTCAGATTTTGGTCGATCTATTCTTTTGGTAAGTCTAATCTGAAATCGTTTATTTCGAATATGGCTTCCAGGGAGTTGCAGAATTATTTAACATGCTAAGATTTTAATGATTAAGACCTACTGTGTTTCAATTTTGTATCTGACATCAATTTCTGATTCATATCTAAACGTGGTACAAGTTTATTATCCTCTGAATACATGAAATTCTTAGGAAAAAAATGAATATTTGTGTCCAACACTTACACCCTAATCTAAGTAACATAGATGACACCCTAATCTAAGTAACATAGATGATAGACCCCAATCTCAAAAGGTTCATGCCTTTGTACGTATTAGTTCTTTTATTGTGAGCATATTATTTTAGAAATTAATTATTGAGCATGGTCTTGAAGCAAATTTACACCAACTTTCCAAGTAGAGGTTAAAAGTATGGAGAAAATCATAGGAGAATCATGATGTTCGCCAAAATCTATGTTACTTCAAAATATCTATGTTTAACACTGATGTTTGATATTCAGGCATTATAACGAGGATTTCACTCACTAGATAAATAATATATATATACACTTCTTGAATACATACCTATCTGATACCTTGTACTCACTTCCGATGCTGGCGATCTTAGAATTGTAATCTGTTTTATATGTATATACAATATTACTAGAACCATTCAAAGTCATACGCAGTGAATTTTGTTACTTGAATTGCAGATTAATATGATAATCTAATATACTATACAATATTATGTGCATGAGTTTTATGCATTTCCTTTGGTTAATTATGATCTTTGAATGATCCCCAGAAAATTAGCTGAAGAGCTCATTCAGATGTTCATGTTGGAACTAAGTTTGAAGGTAAATGGAATGGCCTTCTATTGTTATACTGTATACCTGATATGCTCTATGGTATCCGGTGCGAGTTCCGTATAGGAGTATGTCTGGCATGTGTATCACATTTTCTATGATTTTTTTTTTGTTTACTATGTGAATATTTAGAGATCATATCTCATATCCACGTGTCGGATACGATTGTCAAATACGAGTACTTAAAGAAAAGATAAGAGTCGAAACAACATATTTGGTATGTGTTTTAGTTTTTTTCTATATTGTTGCTATAACCGACGTCTATGTCTGATACATATATAAATATGCATACAGGATATGATATTTAAAGATCTTCCAAATACATAAAAAATCTAGTATATCTTAGCTGGAAACATATTCATACCAGCCACTTATATGAGAATTCGAGTAACATAAGTTTCTTTGTTAATGTATCTATCCTTTATTCCTATCGTCCCCTCTTGTTTCATGTAGAGATTGCTTGTATTGGAGTTACTGTCCATTAGTTGCGAAATTTCAGAAGGCAATCAGTTCTGCTGGTCTGACGAGCTTACCCTGGGAGAATTCGGTGATCTCAAATTATGCAACTTGTATTCTGATGAAGCTTTCGAGCCAGTCCATCCACGGTTTGAAGGACGGAAAATACAATTTGCCAACTTTTCAAGGCAGCAGTCAGCAGGCCATGAAATTTTGCAGGTTCTGGTCCATTATCTTTCATAGTTTATGTTATTCCGACTATTTTTTTCTAAAAGTACTTGTGTATGACGCAACTTGGAACATGGGTATAGACATATGACCTTCCAAGGATTCTTTAAATCCATAGGAAAATGTTAAAATAATTGAACATACTCGTGTTAGATGCTCTTGTCCTACAAATCCAAGTAACACATTTCAAATTCACGATTAAACGTAGCGGTAGAATCCTTAAGCAAGAATATTCCAAATAGGTCAGTGGCTATCTTTATGATGGAACCTAGCTAAATTATCAATGTTCTTTTGTTGTATATTTTGCGTTTGGCATAATTAATTAAGCAGAAGTATCAGGTCTGTTTAATTTTTCATGTATTTTATGAACCATTGGAGGATCATATGCATTTGCCCATGACTGAATATGCGTTGGAAACAAATATCAAACACGAGTACAAAAAGAAATCATCTCAGAATATCATAGGATATCAAGACTACCTTTAGGGCCATAATTATGTATTAAAGCTACCATGCATGCTAATGTTTGTAGTTCTCTTTGCAGGTTTATATTACAACCTGGCTTGCGGAGGTGAACATAGATGTTCATAGGTAAAATTTCAATTTGAGAGTAAATTTCCATTATTGTTCTTGCACACACTCTTCCTTGAACCAACTGCATTTTTTTGTATCTGTATTTGATGCATGTTCGGACACTCGATCTTGAGTCCTAGTATACAGCTGTGAACAAAGATATGTATTTGTGCACAAGTTTTGGTAATCTGTCTTTTTTGTAGATATGTATTTGTACATAAGTTTTGGTAATCTGTCTTTTTTGTTTTTTCTTACAGGGTGGATGAAATATTTGCAATGATTGGTGAGGAAATTCATGTTTCTCTCTCATAAATTTTTGTAGAGGTTGAATCTAAAGAAGGTAATAGGTATATGAATTACTTGCATGTGTGGTGTCTCTAGGGAAACAGTATCAAGGGAGACATACGGTACACATTCAACACATATCTTCATGTGAATATGGGATAACTTCATAGTTTACCGAACATGCTATGTGAGAACCATTTCTGTTGTATGTTATTCAAACTTTTCATATTCCCTAGAACATCCATGTCTAACACAAGTTCAAGACAGTTTCGTGTGAAAAAAGTTCAGAACCAAGAGCTTAAGTTCAACTTCCAATCATTAATATGTGCTTTATTGTGGGAGTGACTGTGATTTCTGTAATATGTATGATATAAATGGTTCTAATAAATCATTTCAGATCCCAGGTTGATTTATATTCAGATTATTTCAATGCAATTGCCGTTGCAAGTTTACACATTATTTGTCTTTTAGTGAAGACTGATTTTTGAATTCAACTCTTATGAAACATAATTACATGACATGCATGCATTCATACAACCATTGGAAACCAAAATGCTAATCTGATCAGTAAGAACTGTAATTCTCAGGAATTGGCCTACATCAATGCCTACGATGTTAATACGTTAACATCAAGTGCATCTTATCCTACATATTCATTTCTGTGCTTCAATTCTTTCTTTCTTTTTTTTTTTTTTTTGAGATTGTGCGCTTCAATTCTGAACAGAATAAATTGGAGCATAGAAGAGAAACACTAGGTTGGATAAGAAAGGCAGTTGGACCCTAAAAAATGGGGGGAAAAAAAACTTATGAATTATGATCAAAGTGAGAGACATTGTACTCTGTCAGGGAGATTTTTAGGCATCGGTAGTGCAATAACGTATCTTTGGCCAAAGAATTTGTGTGCCCCATTGCTTGCCCCCTGCTATGGAACTTGGCCAAGCGAGTGATGACTGATACCTTCTCTTGATCCTGACATTCCAATCTTAAGTCCGATACTGAGGCTCTCTTGATCAGACTGCTTAAACAAAGTATTAGAAGGCAATACAATCGGTTAAAACATGACAACTTAGAGATGCAATCTTGGCCTAGACTAACAATATTAGACATAAGAAGAATGCAGAGTTACCGGTTTAGCCCCAATCAAAATCTTATTTCTAACATAAAGAAAATCATGAACCATGTCGAATTATGAAATTATAGATATATAAGACCAGCCATGGCTGAATCTGGGAATATACTGAAATTCAACGATGGATGGCTGTGATAAGGAATCTCACTGGTTAATAAACAAATAAAGCAATAATAATAAAAAACTCCTTCGAAGTCTATTAAATCAATGCACTGGAATGGAACACACTTTTCCCAAAGAGCACGTAAAATACATGCTGTGAAAAAATAACAGTTTGCATCCTCCAAAGGACTATTAAGCCTATGCAGGTAAACAATTAACCAAAGGGAAAATTAATACTATCCGTGGATCTAACAAGTATACCCAGAGTGACTTTGTTTGGATAAAAGCCAGACCAACCTTGTTAGTTGTTGCCAACAAATTAATGATACATGACAGCTTAACACACCCATGAGATGACAAAATAAAATGAATGAGTGAACAAAACGTAAACTTCAAGATTCATAAACATACATTAGACGATGTTATAGATGAATGTATTGGCAAAAATAGATACAAGTTACCTCCATAAACTGTTTCCAGCATCTCTGCTGTTGATAAACCCTTCTGCAGCCTTAAAGATGGATTGATTTCTCTGCTCCCTCTGCTTTTCAGAGAGACTAAAATGGAATTGAGAGAGAAAAATCATTAGTAAGATAGTCGTACGCTAACAATAATGATCTTGAATGAGAGCCAGTAAAAGCAGACTCAAGGATTCCAAAAATGATGTATTTACATGCTTCCACTGTGAGGAACAGCTGTGTCACTTTCAGGTATATATTTCAAGCTGCATGTATCTCCTAAGACTGATCTGGCAACAAAATAGGCCAGAGTATCATAGTTTTTTCTAGCATCTGCAGAAAGAACTACTCTTGGTGGAGCACGAAGTAGTCGCTGCAAAAGCTGTGTTGTCAAAACAAGCCTTCTTTTTGATCCAAGTGCCGGCAGCCAATCTTCAATCATTTCAGGTTCATCCTCGACCTGCAATTAAGATCAATGTCTGTAAGCCGAGAACTATCAGATTGTAAGAAGGAAAATCAAACATTCAAATTCAGTTGACACTCAAAGCACCTTCTCAATCAATCGATTTGCTTCATGAGCCCATTCTACTTCTGCCACACTGCAATCAACAAACAATTCCAAGAAGAGAAAAAAGCAACTACTTTTAGCATTTTAGTAATTATCATTCAGAAAGGCTTTAGCTCTTTGGATCATTGATACATAGTGTAAAAAGGATTGCAGCAAATGGGATAATGATTCCACTCACCTGATGTTCTGTGGCCTTTGAGAACCCTGTGTCACTTCTCTATGCCATGGTAGAAACTCAAATGTCATTATCTTGCGCTTCATTGCTCTCGCAACCACCAAATTCTGACTTGCGATATCAGGTGGCAGTGAGTGAGGGGCGACATATTCAGTTTCTATTGGCATGAAGTTTGAACTTTGCCGGACTTTATCCAGTGGATCAGCATCATGTTCACTTGAATGAACATGCAAACTATCGAAGGCCCGACCAACAATGGAAACTTTTTGGTATCATATACGGGCAACATTTTCCCAGTTTTAATTGCCCCATACTGATCAAACCAGGATGGAGCCGTCTGGGGACTGATCCGAGTGTGTTCACCTCTTATATTAGCAGCTGGATTATTAGAATTGGGGAAATGCTGGGATTCATTCTGAACAAATGCCAGCATATTAGTGGATAACTGTGTCTCACAGTTATATCCTGCATTTGGCAAAGAGCTTGGCAGCTTAGAATCTCCAGAAGGTACTAAAGGATGGTTATTATGTGCATCTCTCATCAGAGCATTGGATTCATTAGATAATTGCTCTTCACCTTGGGAACATACCTGTTGAGCTTCCAAACTAGAGTCTGAAGATGGACCTTTAAATCTTTTAATACTCCTATTACTTGGACCAACCTCTATATTGCTCATTGCCTGCTCCTCATGCACAGCATTTTTGGTCTTGAATAATAGCCAAAGCCTTCAATATCTCTTTGCATGCGTGCAAAATTTTGGTTGGCATTATTCTCTGGCAATACCAACTTATAAGTATTGGACATACTTTTAGAGTTCAGCAAGGAGGCACTGGGGAAGTTGTTATCAGCCCAAGCTGACTGTTGTTTGGTGCCATCATTGACAGTTGATGCAGGCATGTTCCCTCTTGGAGGTTCACAATTCTGCAAATCCGAACCACTCCACTGTTCCTGCACCCCTATATCACTACTGGATGTTTCTGCTACAGCAGACATCATAAGAGTACTCCAAATCCCACTTTGCGGAGAGGGAAATCCCCTTAAAGATCCCGTACCATCCAACGCTGAACCCAAGTTGGTGCTCTTTCCCAATATATCCCACATACTGTCATCTGAACCAAACAAATCTTTTCTTCAATTGGATCCAGCGTAGCCACAGTCTGGGAGGAGGAAACCTGAATTGCTGACTTCTTCAGGGATGTTTCTGCAGTACTGCAATGCTCTTGCCTCTGAGGAGACTCCAATATCGGTACAGTTTTCGGCTGGATAACCGTTTGCTGCAAGTTTTCTGAATGAAATTCACTATTTAAACCTTGACCAGCCACATCCTCAAATACATTGTTATCCTGCTCACACTGTCTAGAAACCAAAGTTCCATCTAGCAAACGAACTTGATCTCGAAAAATATATTGATTATCCAGAAAGGAATGACTGCTGGCAGGAACCTTCTGCATCAAAGGCTTATCCATTTGAACAAAAGAATATTGATATGCATTTCCTCTTGCACCAGTAGTAGAAATCCCATAAAACGATTCATCAACTTGTTGAGGAACCATACCCATCAAACACATCTGACCTTGCCCAGGAGAAAACATACCAGAGGATCCTCCCATGGCTGGAGAGGCACCATGCTGCATACAATTTGCATTTTGTGTCATGCGCTCAGGCTGCCAGGAATAACTAGAAGCATCAAGGACAGGAAAACCATCATTGGAGCAGAAGAAAGGCTAACTGATTCCTCTTTAACAGAGGAAACCTGATTTGCAGAGCTCAATTGCCTTGCTTCTGGAAAATGAAACTGTGGCTTTGGAAGTTGGTGTCTCTGTAATTCTTGCATTATAGCATGTTGCTGTAAGAGCTGCATATCAGTCATCCCAGACTGCTGCCTTGGCAAAGGTTGGATCATGCCAGGATCCATTACGCCAAATTGTTGTTGCCTTCCAATAAGATCATAATTTATGGGAGATACAGTTGATTCCAACCTCAACGAGCCATTCTTATGGAAACCAGGGCCATTTCCTATAGGTGAATCAAGACTTGATGAGCCTGTAGGTGCTGTATCCATCCCCAATAAGTTTGTTTCATTATGCCTTGCCTGGAAAGAATCACGCCCTTGCATATAACCATTTGCAATTGGTGACTGATTTTGCAATTGGCTTCTGAAATTTTCAGACTCTGCTAATGCCAACAGAAAATATAATAATGTTGACTAAACAGTAAAAACATGTAATGGCAGTGGACTAAAAGATCTCAGTACAATAGTGGTAGGACCAGAGTGATCAGAAACTAAAACAACCAAGATGCCTTGATTATTACCTAATTGATGAGCACTTAAATTCTTCAAACTGGAAACAAGAGGCCCACCAGCTTGTCTCTGGCTTCCAACTTCGTTGCCAGGCATAGATAATCCAAGCCAAAAACATTCAGAAGCTAAACTTTAAACATTACTACCTACAAGAAATAAGAATTAAATTAAAGTTTTCACGTGCCTGAAATTCCATTACAGAGCAGATAATCATATGAATCCCTCGTTAGGTAAAATTGAATTTAGAAACAAAGCTCTTTTGTACATTTAAAAAATCACTCCAGTCAGCATGTTCCTAAATTCAACCTTATCTTGCATGCAGAAAACCAACATATCATGCCTTCATGGAAATAAAAGTTAAAGCAACAATTCTACCTTTTCTTCATGTTGGAAGTTAATGTTGTTTGGTGTCAAGTATAAAAATGTCAGAAAAGGGGCATCCAGCAAACGTATCAAGTAGCAGCATGGCACCATGTCACTAACCAATTCTACAACCATTCATGGATGCCCTGCACAAGAGTGCACAGCATTCTGACAGTAAATTTATGGAAAAGCAGTTAAGCTGCAGGATATTTATGCCACAACCTAACATTTATAGTTTAGTATTTTCTCACTACAGCAATCTGACGGCACCGTTTTTCTTTTCTCTTCTAACGAATTTACGGGGCATCCTCAATAGTCAACATGAAAACCAAATTCCACATAAGTCAAATTTAATTGAAGGTAGAGTTCATTAAATCGATAAATTCATATTTAAATATGAGAAACGCAGTTTAGCGAACCAAATAAATAACGTACTAACCGTATAAAGCTACTAATAACACCGAGTGCGAATCAATCAACAGAAAAAGAAAAGGCAGACAGCAGCCCACCCATTAGCAGAAACAAAAAAACAAACATTAAAAGCATCAAAGACTACCATAGCAAGCTCAATGGACTCCACATACCTTGAAAAAAAAGAAAAAGGAAAGGAGCATTGAAGCAGCAGCCAAAGCAACTGCAAAACGTTAAATAGTAACATAAATACACTAATTAATGAGAAATTTAGGAAACCAAAGTAAAGATAAAGACGTATAAATTAGCATTAAAAAAAGTTTATAACCTTTAGAAAGCCGTAAAAAAAGAACTATCATAATTTTAGCTCAATTTTTAAACTCTGCAATTGCTCAAAATTAAATTCCTCAGCATCTTCCATTTTCTAGGCAACCAAACAGACGCTGACACTGAAAAATAACGTACAATTCTGAAAAAGTGAAACCAAGGCAACAAAATACCGAAGCGCCAGAAAGCGATTCCCGCTCCAACTAAAACGACAATACAAATAACATAACTGCCCAGCTCTAGAATTCCAAGCCCTAACGGAGATTCAGCGTATCGAGGAGAAACATAGAGAAGTGGACTTACAGCAACGTAGCGAAAGCCTTTGAAATTGCTTGAAAAGTGCTGAAATTGTGACAAAAAAGAATAGCTCGAAAGCGAAAGGGACTTTTTTAGCTCGATGAGGGAGATGAACTGAGTTCAATTAGTGCGAGTGCTTCAACGATCAGTGAGGACTGAGTAGCAAAATTGGGGTTTTTGATCCGAAGGTAAGGTTTGATGTGAACGAAGCTGAGGTTTGGAGTCGAACCTGAAAGGGCGAGTGCAACTATAAATTAAAGGATAAAACATCATATAATCCCTAAACTTATTAATCTTTTCCAATTTGACCCCTTAACTTTTTTTTCACAGTAATCTTAAACTTTGATATCTATTTCTTCATTTTTGATAAACTTAATAACGCTTCTGATGAATGACAGTCCGGTTTTATCAAAAAAGATTGTGATCATTTCTTCGTTGCATATTAAACGTATAAAATGCATCAAGATTTAGAGAGGACAAATATCAATGTATAAAATGGCAAACAAAATTTGTTCAGACAGCAGAACAATAAGATGAAAACAAATTCACCATTAAAGAACAAAGGTTGATACTTGATATCAAAGTTCATGCCCCTTTGGCAAAGTCGACAGTTTCGTACTCTTCTTCATCTCTTCTGTTTTCAGTCCGTGCATCATTCCCCACATAATCTCTGTTTCTACTTTGAACCCGATATCTCCACCGCCACCGAATCCAGCTGAACCACTGGTGGCAAAATACCACCGCCGATGCCACTGGGCAGCGGCATTGAAATTCCCACCATCGTACTTGTTTGGACCAGATTGATCAGAACTGCTTCCGTAGCTGCCACCGGTGCCATACTTGTTACCACCACCATAACTTCCTAGGCCTCCATAGCCACTACCACCTCCACCAGTTTTACCATATCCAACATTACCGCCAGATCCACTGGTGGGAAAACTGTCACAAGCGACAGCATTGAGATTCCCACCATCATACTTGTTTGAACCAGATTGATCAGAATTGCTTCCGTAGCTACCACCAGTGCCATACTTGTTACCACCACCATAACTTCCTTGGCCATAACCACCAGTCTTCTCATATCCAACATTACTGCTACCGAATCCAGCTGAACCACTGGTGGAAAAACTATCACCACCAATGTCGCTAGCGGGAGCATTGAACCCACCATCATACTTGTTTGGACCAGATTGATCAGAGTTGCTTCTGTAGCTACCACCAGCACCATACTTGTTGCCACCACCATAACTTCCTTGGCCTCCATAACCACTACCAACGCCACCAGTGTTACCATATCCAACATTACCACCACCAAATCCCATTTGGTTACCTCCGAATCCGTCTGAACCACTAGTGGAAAATTTATCACCACCGATGTCACTGGAAGCAGCATTGAAATTCCCACCATCTTACATGTTTAGACCAGATTTATCAGAATTGCTTCCATAGCTACCACCAGTGCCATACTTGTTACCGCCAACATAGGTTCCTAATCCTCCACCACCACCACCAGTAGTCTTCGCTTAGGGTTGTATCTCGAAGTAAAACCCTCAGGGTTTTTGTAGACGATGGCGACACGTGTGGGTTTCTGGTTGGTCTGTGTTGCCCATTTGACAAAATTGAATGATCAATTTATAACTTCTGAAAGTTTAGTGACCAAAAAGATTATTTAAGTATAGTTTAATGACCTATGATGTACTTTACCTGGATTATTAAAAATGTTCAAATTAAGTAGTTTTTTTGGCGGCTAAAGTTCGTTATTAATATAAGATAAAACAGACACACAAATTGCCTATACCAATGGCAGGCCCTTCAAATTTTGCCTCTCGTCCAACATTTTCTCTCTCGTATTCTCTAGTTTTCTTGCTTCCTGGTCTTTATTTTTATTTTTAATTATCGAGTTTTGTTATTTCTCTGTTAGTTGATAAGAGATGGGAGGAAGAAGGCTCATTTTCTAGTCAACGAATCAACAATTTTGATTGGGATTCATTGAAAGGATAACTGTTTTTTAAATCTTTGAAATAAGTTTCAAATTGGTTTATATCATTTGATTTTGTTTGTTCTTATTGTTTGATTCTACTTGTTTTTTTTATGTGGTTTTGAGTTTATATGTTCAGCAATTGTTTTCGGGAATTTTGGTTTGTTAACGATTAATTAGTGAATTTGATGAGAATTATTCACGCCAAACAATAAATTATGGTTTATTATCGAGTATATCTGGGAATTTTGCAGAAAATTGTTTCATGTTCATCATTCATTTGTTGTTTTGCTTCTGAAAACAGTTAACATCTAGGAAGTCTTATTTGTTTTTTTTTAATTTCATATTAAAGCATAATTTTCTGGTTGAATGTGGAAATATGAGTGGAGTTCATGATTCCGGTAGTGTTTCAAATACGGACCGAGTTGCTTCTCCGAGTGAAAACCTTCGTGTTTTGATGGAAAAAAAAGCCGACATCCCTCTCTCGTTCATCGCCATCCGGTGACAATGATCCGGCCACACCGATTCCTCCAACATCAGCTGCGGAACAACTTACCGAAGCCAACACCCCATCTCATGCCTTTGCTAGAACAACAACTGCAGCTACAAGGGAATGAAGCATGCGTTCTAACGAGTCGTTGTTTAGCCTTCACACGGGGAACCCGAGTTTCACAACGGAACAATTGAACTGGATGTCGAAATCGGACGAGTATTATTTCTATAACGATTCACCACTTTGCAGTCCGTTGCCACCGAGCACTCCGTGGAACAAGATGTCAGCAGCTGAATTTGCTAGTCAAGGTGGTGTCATCGGCTTAGACAGCGAATCATTGTTTAGTATCCACACGGGGAACATGAGTTCTATGGGCAGTCTGTTCTAGGTCACTCCACGGGATAATCGGACAGCGCTGAAACTACCGGACAAAGTGGTGACTCAAACAAGCTCTGCCACGGAGATACAGAAGCAGAAGCAACCAACACAACGAGGCATAAAGAATATTGGGTTCATAAGGTCAATGTTCATAAAGAATTCTCTTTCCCATCCCGTGTGCGATGTTCATCAAGAGCTACCAGATGCAAGGGTTAAATCTTTTGCCTTCCCTATGTAAGCTCTCACTTCTCAAACTGAATTTTCCAGTCTTCGGTTTCCAGTTTCGGGTGCGAAACCTTGCACCGACATTGAAAAAATTAAAGATATCCGACCGTATTACAGTAACATGCTGATTCATTCTTTTCTTGCAATGAAGATTGATAGGAGATGCAAGTGAAAACGGATCTCCGCTTCAGAGTACAGAGAAACAAAGCCAACAAGAGTGCTCCACCGGTCCACCCCTAGAACTCCCGAGACACTTTAGAAACAGCTAAAGAAACACAGAAAGCACCAGAAACACCGAAGCTAGGATGCCCTAACGAAAACACAGAGAATCCTTCGGGAACCCCGAAGCCTCAGACACCTAAAGCAACACGAAATGGTGGACCGAAAAAAGATTAGGTTGCACTGCCAGTCCAACCTCTGCAACCTCTTGAAAGAACACATAATTGCATGTATATATCTAAACTAGTATTGAATATTCAATTCAAACTCTAAGCTTTGAGCCACAAATTTCAATTCAAGCTTAAGCTTCTTATGGCTGAGATTACACCGCCTATACCACATGCATGACAAATCGTTTGATGCTTTCACAGGTATAAATGCATGTAATTAAACTGATCAAAGAATATAAAAATAGTCACCCTGGTTTCTGAATTCATTCCTGCCATATAGCCTCCTCCTCGGCCATCGATAAAGCTCCATTGACCACGGAAACTATCACTCCGAAACCCACCTTTACTGGATGCATACCTTCCTCTCCCACTGCTAACAACTGCAAAATGCAGCGGTTTCTCAAGTATATATTATATATTATAAGCACACTGAACTGTTGGGAAACAAACGAGTAACGAGTAATTTCCCTATAACCAGATTAGTGAGAATGTGAAATAAAAGCAGAAAAATAATACCCGAAATTGATAACGAAGTTCAGTCAATTATGCCTACGTCTCCGGACTGCTGCAGATCTTTTACTAAAGGGAAAAAATTTACAGGTGTTTACAAAAACATTTGAGAGAGAGCTAGAATGATTTGGGGATGATTTTGAAGCTAAATGGGTAAGGGTATTTATAGTTGAAGCTTAAGGACTAAGCTTTGAAAATACCCTAAAGTGCAGGGACTAAAGTGTAATATTCCCAAGCCAAAATTTTCAACAATTACCAGCTTGAATTCGGTGCAATAAATGCACTACTTTCAATGGCCTCCCTTGCCTCCCTTTTTGACTTTTCCAACAATCTCCCACTTGAAGACTGATTTTAATCTGTCTTCACACATCGATCAATGCAACAGCATTTATGGTCTTATTACTCTAGCATGCCAACTAAAGCTGAACACAACTTCAGTTTGTCCGTAGTCACCGTCTTGACTCCCTTCGACTCTTGTCCACTAGTCTTTGAAGGATTGTTCCTCACTTGAACATCCTCGGCAAGCCCCTACTTCGACCTTTCTCTTAAGATGGTCTCTGAAGCCATATTCTCTACACGAACATGCTCGGCAAACTCCTTGGACACGAACAACTCTTCTTGCACTTGTCTTCTACTTGCCTTGGCAGAAATGAACCTTATTGAGTCAACTCTCAACGCCTCTTCGATCCTGGGTTCGTCCTTTTCTCTGGACAACTCGATCTTGGGCTCATCTATCACCTTGGATGACTCGGCTCCCCTCGGGTAATTTTGCAACACTTCTAGCATCTTAAGTTTGCGCCCCCTCGTTTGCTCGACTCTTACCCTCGGCTTAGCATCTTTGACACTCGAACTTGTGCTAAGACTGCACACATCTTCCCCATACTCACCATCTGGTTCATCATTGAGTAGATTTTCTCTGCCACTCGAGGAACAACATTCCTCATCCTCTGACTTGCCTTCATCACGGAATCTCTTGTCGCTACCCTTGACTTTCGACTTTGCTTTGGAAGTCTTGTTCTTCTTGACTCCAAATTCTTTTATGGACTCAACGGTTGTCAAGGCTTTAGATAACTCCTTGACTTCCCTTCGCTCCAACACTCTCTTCGCCCATGGCTTCAATCCGAACATGAATGTGAAGAATCCATCTTCTTCAGTCAAACTTGGGACTTTGAGCATGAGTTTTCTGAATCGACTCACATACTCCTTAAGTGTCCCTTTATGCCTAAGACGCCTCAACTTGGACCACGCCTCCATCCTGGCATACTGTGAGCAGACTTGCTCACTTTGCACCCTTGGCTTGACGGCTTTATCTCTTGCTATCGCACCGGGTCCCTTCTTGTGCTCGACTGCTTTGACACCCGCAGTCTCGTCACGTTTCAATCCTCGGTTGACTACTTGAGAACTTGTAGTCGCACCACTCTTGCTCCTTGATTCGGCTACTTTGGAACATGTAGCCTCGCCAAGTCTTTCCTCTGTCTTGATTACTTGGATACTCGTAATCTCGGGCTTTCTCCCGGGTTTGACTGCTTCAATATCAACAGCCTTGCCTCGTCTCAATCATTGCTTGGTCGCATTGATCTCATCAATCGGACCAAGTCTTTTTCTTGGCTTGGTAGCTTTAACACTTGCGACCGCGCCAATTCCCGCTACTTCTCCTTCTTCCATCCTCTTTATGATGGTTGTAAGGCGACACTTCTCGGGACATCCTCTAATCAAATGAGGACCATCACAGAAGCAACACTTCAATTTTTTTGCTCTCCTTCTTCTTTACACCGGACTTAACCTTTCCATTCTTTTCCAATGGCTTTCCTTGGCTACGAACAGTCGATGGCTCACCTTGACCATTCGAAGAGCTTTCTCTACCATCTCCCCACTGCACCTTTTCCCGGTCTCCACCACTGTTTCCACTATCTCTGGGCATGGGCCTGTGTAACATCCTCAATACCGGGTTAGTGATCAAGTTGTAAAGTTTTAGAATTTGATGACTAAAGTAGAAGAATGAAATAATTCAATGATTATTTGAATATATATTGAAGGTTATTTAGTAATTATTAAAGGAAATTAAGGGCTAAATGGTCATTTGATCATTCAAGGAATGATATACACGTGAAAAGGGGAGAGAACTCTCCAGAGTGCTCTTCTCCTTTCTTCTTCTTCATACGTGGGGGAGCAAGACAAAGGTAAGTTTCTTTGTTTGTAAATGAATTGTTGATTTTAAGGTTGGGTTTTGATTATTAGATGATAACTAAGCTTAAGGAAAGCTTAAATCATCTTAAAAACAAAGGATGGAGGGGTTAAGAGAGATTAAAGATTTGGAGTTTTTATATGAAATTTTGGAAAGGAATTGATAAGTAGAATTTGAAGTTAAATTTGACTTGTCAATAGTTAAATTAAGAGATTTGGAGTGATATAATTGGATTTAGAACATATAGAAAATTTGGTATGATTTTTGAATCTCATATGGAAGATAGGATTTTGAGGTTTAAGATGAAATAAATGAATAGATTGGTTTAAGTATGTGTACTAGAGTTAAGAATGAAAAGGGGATGTTATATGAAGTGTTTGAGTGAAAATGAAGTAATTTTCGGGTTGAAAATATGATTTCTGGGCAAGGGGAATCGGTACCCATTCAAGGGGAACCGATACCCCTTCAAACGACAGAATTCCAGAATGTCTCGGGGGAATCGATATCCCCATGGTAGGGAACCAATTCCCCCTAAAGAAAAATGTTAATATGGGTTTAATAAGTTCGTTTAAGTTGCTAGTATCCAATTACAAGGTGTAGGTATCTAATGATTACCTCGAAATGTACATTTATGTAGATTCTACGCATAAAGAATTCCGGAACGTTTGGCAAGTAAGATCGATCAAGGGGAAAGATGAGAGATTGGAATTGACTAGTGAGGCCAGGTGAGTGCATATTCATTAGTTATGGTGCTAAATGGAAACAAGACTTGCGACAAGTCTATTTCCTCTGTTAGAATGCATGAATATATGATTATACGTATATGAATGACATGAATTGTATGTATGCATGATTATATGTGTTAACATGCTTTTGAATGTAATGTTATGAGAAGTATGTGCTATGTAATGTATATATGTGAACATGAGAAAACAAAGTATAAGATATGAACTATGTGATCCTATGAGAATATGAAAAGAAGCTATGTGACTACAAGTATATGTTATGAGATAAGATCTAGGTGATTGCATGCAACATATGATATTAGATATATGTTTACACATACCTGTGGTATGTGACAGAAAAGAAGGAACATGTGGTTATGAGATCAATGATTACACGTACATGTGATACGTGACTGAAAAGAAAAGATATGTGGTTATAAGAGAAAGAATATGAATAAGTAATGTGAACTGTTATAAATGATAATGCCCATGTTATGTGATATGAGAGCTAGGGGTATAGTTGGCATGCCAAGGGTCGAGGGTTACCTATGTTCTTCGGGACATATGGACTGTTTACCTATGTTCTTCGGAACATATGGACTGTTTACCTATGTTCTTCGGAACATATGGACTGTTTACCTATGTCCTTCGGGACATATGGACTGATTACCTAGGTTCTTCAGAATCTATGGACTGGTCCTTCGGGACATGGATCGAGCTGTGGTGACAGCATATGTGTGCACAACCTCAATGTACTCACATACCTTAAGTTCTCACTAGTGTACATGGGCTAATAAAGTGATTAAACAAGCATACTGAATGTGATATGTATACGATGGGTTTATAAGTGGTTTGAAATGTGTTACGTGAACCATATGATGTTGTGTGTGTATAGTGTTTGATTGAAAAGGTTAACAATAAAAGTAGGTGATTACATGATAAACTGTTAATGATGAATTATGTGTCTGTATGTATTTACTGTAATTAATCTGATATGATTTTATATGATACGAATAATGCATGGAATTGGTATAACATGATAGAACAGAACATGCATGTATTGATATATGTTATGAAGTGCATTGTAAGTCGTTATGCCTCACTAAGTCTTCGACTTAGCGTGTGATTGTTTCACACGTAGGTTTCGAGAAGAGGAAAGAGTAATGCGGAGCAAGACAGGTCAGTTTTCCTTACCAAATGTCAGATCAGAAAATGTATGTACTGTTTACAGAGTGTAGTTGGCATGTAGTCTAAAGATATAAATGGTATGAACTCTGATATCTGTTGTAAACGTTTTGAAATAATTTAAATGTTATCAAAGTTTTTAAATTACCCACTATTTTATACGAATGAATGTTTAAAAAGTCAATGTGACACTTCGGACTCGTATCCGGGTCGGATACGGGTTGGGGGTGTTACAGCCTGGACGACACATCGCTACTTGGTTTGTCTCCTACAAG